ATTTGAAAGTTCAATTTGTTAAACAAAAGCCAAAAATGACAAAAAAAAAAAATAGTTATAAAAAAGCATCTAAAAATTTTTTTTATATTTCAAATAAAAAAAAAAGGAAAAAACTGCGAAATTTTTGGTCATGCGTTGGCTGTAATCTTTTTTTTTTATATAAATTATTATATTTATATATATATATACATTTTTAATTTATATTTACTATTTTTTTATTGCACAAAATCAAAAAAAAAAAAAGTTTTATTGAAAAAAAAAAAGGTTTACATATTAATTTTTTTTATCATTTTTAACGCTTGTCTAGGTATAAATGTATTAAATTTTATGGCAGGTATGGGAAGCGAGTTTTTTAAACGATGTTGCCAAATCTTTTGTTATCAATTGTTTTCTCACTGAATCCGTACTTTTACTATATTAGATTCATATTTGTGTACATACATGTTTATATATACATATATATACATATATGAATATTGATAGTTATGTATGCTTTATATTTTTAAAGTTCTGAATTACATATTTATATATGCACATAAATACATACATATGCACAAATATTTGCAGTATAGATACTATATAAATATAATATTGCAATAAATTAATTAGAATGCTCTAATTTGATTTTATATTTACATATGTATATACATAATTTTTATAAATATATGTATATGTATGCATGTGTATATATGCATATGCAATTTAAAACACCTTTATGTGTTTAGCTGCATGACTAAATTATTATGTATGGATCTATATACAAAATCTATTTTTCTGGGGTTTTAAAATATACATATTTATATGGATTTAGGTACATGTATATATACGTACATACATACATATGTTTGTGTGCAATAATTGTTTAATCTTATATACTTAGGTACCTACCGAAACAAAAAAAAAATAATGATTTTGTTTTATATAAGAGTTTTAGGGAGATTATGATTTTTTATGTTATTATATATATTATTATATATTGTTAATAATCTAAGATTTATCTTGAATTTTTCAAAATTTTAATCAAATAATATGGAAACTTAATAATTTTAATATTTTTTAATATTAACCATATTGTAGCTTCAAGCGTATTTGATGCCTATGTTTTTGCTCATCAATTAAAAATTTTTTTTTAACTTGATTTGAAATATTAAGAATGACTTGAAATGTAATAGCTAAACGTCATTTTCTGAATTTTATGCTGACATTCATGTACAAAATACCATTCAATATCTGTCAAATTAATGGCTTAATTTACTGACTTTTACCACTTTAGAGTTATTTATACATTAATATGGATTTAGAAATTAAACATTAAATAAATATTATTATGCTTATTAAACTAAAAAAATTCAAAAATTCATTATTAGGTCAAAAAATAAAACAAAATAAATAAATAGACCATATTATTAAAATTTTGTATAATAATCTAAACAAAATACATAAATAAAATTAAAACAAAAAAATAAAAAAAAAAAAATTCAGAATTTAGGATTAAATTTCAAATTTGTTTATCTAAAATGTACGTATGTAGATACATACACACATTATTTATCTAAACACTAAAAAACGTTTTCAGCTATATTCAATGAATTAGGCACATGATGTGTATATTGTATATATACTACATATACTCGTACGTATATATAAACTTAGAGATTATGGCTATTCATTTATGCATAAATCTAATGACATTTTAAGGCAAACTGTAAAGTCACAATAAAATATTTTTTGTATAGATGTTTATATTTATACATGCTCAGTTATTTTCTCTTAACAAAATAAATTTAGGGTCCCTATATTGATAACATCATCGTATCGTGTTTATTAAGGACAAAAGTAGTAAATATATAAAAAGGAAAATTCATAAGATGTAGTATACGTCATATATTTTTTTGTGACAAAATTTAATTTTTTGACTGCATTTAATAATACTTACCCTATACTCTGTTTAAATGACATCGCACGTTTTCTATACTCACCTACATATATAATATACATACATACATTATGCATGTATAACATTCCTATTATTTTCCTTTTGTTATACAAATGTTAACATTATACGTACCATTGTTGTAGGTATAATCGATATGAATTCATTTTTATTTCACATCCATTACTAGGATATATGAAATCAAAAAAAAAAAAAACAAAAGAAAATAAAAACCGAAATTAAACTAAAAATAAAAGTATAACATAAATAGACGCATACATGCATAATACGTATGTACATTTGTAATCATATTTTTTTTCAAAATCTTTTTAGTATACCTTACTATATGTATATTATTATTAAATTTATATTGTATGTAGGTACATATTTGCATAATGAAAATCAAATCACCCTTAAATCTGTGTATCCATGTATATTCCCTACAATATATACATAATAATATTAATATATGTGCGGATATCTACATATTATATAGAGAGACAGATTGATATTCGAATTAGATAGAAATTTTATAGAATTATATATTATTTACGTACATACATAATAATCGTTCGTACAATATATGTAATTTGTTCCATTGCTTATAATAATTTATCTTTGTGTGTATTGTGTGTATTTTTAAGTCGCGTTATTCGTTAAATGTTATATCCATATATGTACATAGAACTCTTTGCTCATTCTCATCATTTAATATAACAATAGCAGCGCAGTCACTGTAGACTCCAAAATGTGTATTTCCTGAGAGTAATATTTGAGACATATTCTCTAAAATATTATAATAGTATCCAAATATGTATTCAAAAAAAAAAAAAATTTTTTTTTTTATTTTATTTTGTAGGTATAGGTAGTTATTTGATTTAAAATAAAAAAAAAATATTTTATATATGCAATGTTATATCCTTTGTGATTTTCATTAAAATAAAATAACAAAAAGAAATTAGTGATTGGACTATTATAGATATTTAACGTATTTATATTTTGTATAACTATTTAAATTCATAAAATGAATCATTAATGTTTGATAGAAAGTCAAAGTAATTATGGTAATAGAATAAAAATTATTCAAATAAATTAAAAAACAGAACTAGAACATGGCGAATTTAATCGTCGGCGGTAAAATATATGTTGTTGCCGCTCAACGGTAATCGTATGTCGTTGCCGCTCACCGCTTTGGTTCTGTCATTATAGTAATACAGAAATTTATTCACATTTCATTATGATTTGTAGACAAATTATTAATTAAATTAAATATTTTGAACTTAAACATTAAATCAATATAATATTAATTTAAAACTTTGATTTTGTAAATTCTTATAATTATATTTTTGTATGTTATGTGCTTATACAATGGATATATTTATGAATTAGATTATTTAACTGTTATACCCTTATTTAATTTATTGATTAAAATAATTCAATACATAAATATATAATATTCTTAAATATTGAATAGAATAGTACCATCTCTATTTATAATATTGTGTGTATCCACAAAATATATTGTATATGAGACGAGCATAGTATTGATCCGAAGTTAAATTTTTTCTATATCTGTAATACTTTTTTTTATATTTTTGTTCTATTATTATAATATGCTTTTTATTTTAAATATAATATATATATATATACATTATATTTATAAATATACATGTTATGAATGTATTTAAACAAACATACATGTAAACATACATTATAATATATTGATTATTGTGTAGTAGAAAGGGAAAGTTTTTTATTCTATTTAGTACCATATACAAGAGCTTATATATTTTATTTAGCTATTTTATATATGTTTTATATTATAATATAACGTATTATAAGTATATACATACATTTTTTTATTTTAAAAGAATTTAAACTTTAATGTTATATCTCTATTATATTGTATAGAAAGTAGAATATTTTGTTAAAATGCAAAGCATCTCTGTATTTACTTAATGTGTACTCAACGTATGTCTGTTTTAATATTTGTGAATCACGTGTATTGAAATATTTGATGCAATCAGATTAAGTATTTAAAAACGAGGTAATTTTATTTGTTCATTTGTTCATTGAAATTTTCAACTATATTTACTGTTATAATGTATAGGTAAAAACATTAAAGAGTTTAATTAGACTTAACTTATAGGTTGCGTCTAATTAACTCTAATAATTAGATTGCGTCTTCTTATTCCAAAAAATAAGAACTTATTCCAAAAAATAAGAACTTATTCCAAAAAATAAGAACTTGTACAAAAGCTCGATTATTTTTTACCAACTTGTTTTGAAAACACTGCATTACTCATGAAATCGTTCTCTGATATGCCTGTAGAAACTGTTGTCCTGCAATATCAAACTTTTAAAAAAAATTAAAAATTAAAGCCATAACCTCTAGCTTCTTTTGAATTTATTTGATTTTTTCACAAATCTATCCTTAATTGTACATTAACATAACCCCAAACACTGTGTACATTTGTTTAACAATACACAATCTGAACTACAAAACAGTAAAATTAGTTTTATTTTTTTTGGAAAATAAAAGGCACAATATATTTTCATTTTTCCTGATTTTACGATATTTTAACGGTGACTTTAAACAAACAGAAATATTATTCTTCTAACAATTTATTCAATTTTATTCTTTTGTCAAATCAAAAAACATTCTTTTTTATTTTAATTTAGAGCAACATTATGTAATATAGAAGAAATTTCCATTTTCAAAAAATATTATTTTCCAAATCAATTGCAATAATGAAAATTTATTAAAAATTCTAAAATCAAATTCATTCATTCATACATGATATATTTACGGTTTATCGTAAATCGTAAGTTTACCCGTCAAAATAATATCGTATATCGGAAAATATTTTATATTTTGCTGATTACTGACTAAGGAGAAAAAGATATGCGAGCGAACATATTTCAGAATATTTTGTTGCTTTTGTTTTTTCTTTGATTTTTTTTTTGTTTTTGTTATACTTTTAATTTTTTTGTTTCGTTCCACGTTCATTGCTTTGCTTTTTTGCCTTCCTAGTTTTTCATGAATTTTTCATTCTGGTTTGGTCATTGCTTTGTCAACTTTCAAGTATTTGAGAAGAATTATAAAAAAGTTAATTGAAAAAAAAAAAGTGTTATTCTTGTGTATTAAAATTTTAAGTTAAAAATCTATAGTGTGAATTTTTAAAATATAAAACTTTTAGTTAATTAATAAAACTAAATTAAAAGAGTGAGTTAAAATTTATTGTTATACAGACATTTGTGATTTTTGTTGAAGAAAAAATTTTTATTGCAAATTTTATAAGTAGATACTTAAATACATATTTATATTTATTTTATATGTACATACATATACTTAATTTATAATTGTAATTTCACATTTATGCTTTTATTCCTTAAAAATGCCTTTTTTTTTAAGAAAAAATTCTAAAATTGGTAGACCTATTTATACAAAATTTAAAAATAAAAATAAGTCAATACTGGTCATTTTATTAACGAATATGTGTGTATGTGTGGATGTACATATAAAATCCCGCGTTTTGATTTTTTTCTTTTTTCATTGTATCATAGGCATTTTTATATCAAAAACCATATCAAACTTATTTTATTAACTATATATTTTCATTAATTTCATTATATAAATGTTAGATAACATGTACTATTCGAGATATTTCATAAAATTTACAATCATATTGACCGGCATAAATTCCTATTGGAGAGGATTATTTGAAATACAAAAATTTTTGAATTTTTCATATTGAAGAAAATGCTTTTGAAAGTACAGTCACTGATGAAAGCGTAGTATGACGCCCTATACAACGCGCATTAATTTATAAAATTAATCATAATTCCACCATTTTGTGGTAAATTGCAAAATTTTCTTCCATGAAATATACTAAATTTAATATATTTTAAGTCCTAGTACCTACATTTTTCACTTTATTAAGAATATTTTGTAAAAAATTGATTTTTTTGTTGACCACTTTCATTACCGAATTCACTCAGTATAAAATTTGTCTATCGCCATACAAATTTTATATGGGAGAATAATTTCATTTTATGTATAGAAGAAGATTGTAATATGAAAATGGTACAGTCATGTTAAAAAGTAGTAAAAATGTAAACAGAAATTTTGACGTTTCTGAAATTTGAAATTTTAGTTAACTTATTGTATACATGATTTGTGGAAATCAAGGAAATTATTTAATTTCAAATTTCTAGTGTATTGAGTTTATGTATGATTGTTTATACATATGTTTATATTCGAATGAATAAATTTTAAATATTTTTCAAATGGAAGTTTTGTTATATAAGTTTAAAAGAAATTCTATTGATATTGGTTAATATTTAGGATATCTAAATGTAAACATAATGTATTTAATGTTTGAAAAATTTAAGTTTTGTTATACTGTTTTTTAGGTAGATACGCGCGTTAGTGGTATATTGATGAGCAATATATGTATGTATGTACATGCATTCATATGTAATGCATTTACATTATAATAACGGTTTTATTATAATATAATGAACATATGCATACACACATCCATACATGCGTACGTAAACTAAGTAAGTAGTTATGCATGAAAGCATGTCATACGAAAGTATAAACAGCAATTGTCTTGATAAACCTATTTATATTATTTTTAATATATTATACGCGATGTAGATGCATATGCATAATGAGAGTAAAACATTTAATGTCTTGTTTATTCATCAATTGATAATTTAGTTAAATGATTATAATATAGCATAGTTTTGACATAATGTTTATGCAGCTTTTATTTTTATTGCGCTCTCTAATGTATATTTTAATCTCAATTCTATCTGATCAATATATTACAATCTTAATTTTTTTCGGCTATTTACTGTGGAAACAAACAAATCAAGTTTTTTCTTGAACGAATATGAAGTTACATGGAATTCATGTTTGATAAAATAGATTTTGTTTTCATACTATGTCTTTACATAATTTTTTTAAAGGTCATAATCTCAATCACAAAACTACCTATGTATGTATATAGACTATATAAGCAACCAAATTAACAATGATATACATATATACTTTTATTTTATCGGTGGGTATATATCTACCTATATTATCAAAAAAAAAATTCAGGCGGAAACCTAATGCACACTAGATAAATTTAAGCAAAATTTGTAAATTAGCTGTCAGATGACGGTAATTATCTGTAATTGAATCTAAAATTGCCAAATGTTTTTAATTTTGTCGAAAATATCGAATTGACCAGTTAATGTTATTGATCGTACAAGTATGTGTTGTTTTCTTTTTCACTTTAGCATTTCGACAATAATTTTTACAAATTTTCGGAAATGGTTTTTATAAATTATTTTATTGTAGATTTGTAGAACATAGAATTAGGTTTAAGGTTGAACTATTTAAAATCAAGTACCTACCTATTTTAAATTTTAAAAAATTATATTTTCTTTTGACATATTCAAAACTACTTATTAATGGAAAGGGAATTTAAAAAAAAATTGAGAAGCATTAGAAACAAACAAGAACAATTTTTATATAATGTGAGCTCAAAATTTAATTCTTTTTATGAGCATTTTACTTCACAAAAAAAATGCAATAATTTTTAAGTCTTATGTATTTCAAAATAATTTTGTATAAGCCACCAACAAGTTAACAAACAAGTAAGGAAAGTAAAACAAACACAACTGCTCTCTATTCTTCAGTATTGTTGTTTTCCTTCAATAAAATTTTCAATTCAAGTATTTTTAATGTTGTTACACCAGTATATATTCGTATAAAACAGCAAAAAACTAAAACTAAAATCAAAAAGAATTTATTTTATTCACAAATGCAGGATCTTTCAATTTATTTTCGGCTTGTTTTATATGAATTCCCTTTCCTTTTTTATTTTTTCATAACCGCTGTCATCTACTTCACAGCAGCTTGCCTCTTGTGATATTTACAATACACATTATTGCATATTATATACATATGTACATTAAAGATTGAACGGGATTCAAATTCAAATTAAAACAAAATTATATGTTTATAGTATGTACATACATATTTATTTTTGCCGGGAAAAAATCTATAAGTTCTCTTTTTATATGGATAAACGAAAAACAACAATAACATAAAATAATTGGTTCGTTTCTCAAAGCACAATAAAAATTCTGTGTTTTATTTGTGTATTAAAAAGGTAAATTCTAAAGAAAAATAAGGGTATAGAGAAATCTAAAGCAAAAATCAAAAAAAGAAAACAAGATTTTTTGTTCTTTTTCTTTTCTTTACTAAATATTCTCATAAAAACGTCAAACAGTTTTTCGATACCTTTGGATTTTTGAATTTTATCCATCATTCAGGTTCTTGAGTTGCTCTCGTCAAAAAGTATTCGTTCTTTTACTTAGCAAAAATAAAAATTCTTCGCTTTTTTCCAAATTCAAAATCAAACCAAAATTTTTTTTTTCTTTTCTTAAATTATTGCTTTTTTGGAAAGTGAGTAAAAAATATTATTTTTAATAAATTATAATTAAAAAATATAAAGTGAAAATTTTAAATTTCAATGTGAGAAACAAATAGAATTTTAAAAATATTGAAGAAGCGAAATGTAATGCGGTGGCTCGTCAGTGACTGTAATTAATATTATTGTGTAAAAAAATATTTCGTTATTTATAGGAACGACAATATTTTTGAATATAATTTTTAAAATAATATTTAAAATTTTTTTTTTTTAATTAATATCAGTATAATGTGAATTTAAAATATTAAAGACGCTTCAAACAAACCTTGGTTAAGAGAAAAATGGCGGGAAATTTTTCTTTATTAAGCGTTGCTTTATTTAACTGCAAAATAAAAAAAAATGGTTCATTTTTATAAAAGCAACACATTGTGTAGAGTTAATAAATTATGATGTGATCTTAGGTCTATATAAAATTTAATTGGAATACATAGATTATTCTCATATGTATATTAAATAAAATATATTTAATTAACAAATAAACCTAAATAAAATTAATCAAATATGTTGCTTATAAATGAAATAAATTCGAATGTTAAAAAAAACTATTAAATTATTAATATTATATAATATTATGAATATTTTAATTAATATTATTAATTAATAATATTTGTTATACTTGTACATTTGTTAATTGTTATACATACATATTTAATATAAGTGAATTGAAGCGGTTCTAATAATTATATTGGGTTTAAATTTTTGTGTTAGTATGTTGACTTTATACCTTTACCTTACCTACTTATAAATTTCAATTCTTTTATCAATTTAAAAACAAACTTTTAAAAATTTTGAATACCCTTAAATAATGAGAATATGAAAGTATTCAAAATATATTCTGGTACATTTTTTAATGAATGTTCATCCACATTTTTGTGAAAATATCAATTAATTAGTGTTCAAGATTGTGCAAATCCAAAACTTCTCATTCATATTTTTGCTAGACTATTCTTGATACAATAAAATGTGGTGCATAATTTGGCGTTCATAATAAGATTCGTCTTATAAGTAAATAGTTAATTAAATATTAGTAAAAGTAAAAACAAATTAAATATGAATTTAATTTCAGCGCATGCAAAAGTGTATTGATCTTCATGGGGAATATTTTGAAAAACAATAAAACCATTTCCAATGATAAATGTTTGTTTTTTATTGCTAGACCCGAAATATAAATAGTGACCCTCGTATGTAAATTTAATTTATTTAATAGAAGATAACCCATTTTTTTTTTAAATTAAATCCAACATTAACCAATTATCGTTCATTCAAAACTGAAATATAAATTCTTGTTTGGATTGAATTTCACAAACTATAACCAAGAATGTTACAATTAAGTTAAAAACTTAAATTCACATCAAATAAATTTTTTGTCCATCATATAAAATAAAGTATGGAAAACGAAACAAACACAACTGCTCTTTATTTTTCCATTATTGATCTTTTTCCTTTAACAATCAAATTCCAATTCCAGTATTTTTAATGTTGTTACGCCACTTTTTGTGTTTATTAAAAGAACAAAGCTTAAATCGTTTTTTTATTCTTAAATAGGGGATTTTTGTCGGAAGATTTGAAAGGGAAAACCAAGTACATAAATTTTTTGATCAAAATTTGCAAAAATTGATTGTCTCTCATTTCTTTGCGTAATGCGTTTTTTTTTTTTGCAGATTCAAAATGAACACAAAATGATTCTTTCAAATTGATTCGTTCTTTTAAATTTTTGTAAAAAAAGAAAAGAAAAGTAAACAATCATCCCATATTTCCAATTATTGTTATACAATTATTCATGCCGGTAAAAAACTACAACTCTTTTTCTCTTTATAATAAAACAATAAACCAAAATGAATAATAAAGGCGCATTGATTCGCTTTTATAAAAATTCAAAGCATAATATAAAATTCTGTTTCATTTGCATGAAAAAGTAAAATTCTAAAATGAAAAATAAGAAGGGTTCTTGTAGAGTTCTCAAAAAAAGGAAAGCAATTTTTTTGCCTTTTTTTTTGTTTTAATAAAAATTTGCATTAAAACAAAACAGCTTTTAGTTTTTATTTATCATTAAAGTTCTTTAGTTGATCTAATGCTCTCACCAAAAAGGATGCGTTCTTTTATTTAGCGAAAATAAAAATTCTTCGCTTTTTTCTCAAAATTCAAATAATTCACATTTTTAATTATAAGCTTTTGAAACGTGAGTAACGAATGCATTTATAAAAAAAAAAAATATTTAATGGAAAATAAAAAGTGAAAATTTTTTAATAAATTATTTAATTTTAATTGAATTAATTAATTTAATATAATAATTCTAAAAAGTATCAGAAAGCAGAAACAAATTTTTATAATACATACATATGTACATATGTACATATTTCATTATAAACGAACAATAATTTTGCATATGATTTTAAAATGTGTATTTTAAACTTTTACATTAAAATCAATATAAAAAAAAGCAAAAAAAAGGAAATAAGGGGACGCTTCAAACACATATGGTTTGGACGAAAAATGGCGGGAAATTTTTTTGTTCACAGATTTGCTTTATTAGCCATTTAAAAAAACAAATTGTTCTCTTTTTTAATTGCAATATTTAAATAAGAAAATAATATCTTTTATATAATTTATTTGAAATTGTACGATTATTTTGCCTGTATATTATTTGTATTTAAGAAACAAAAAAAAAAATGTAAAATCATTTATTGAACTCAGAATTACTTACTGACAAAATCAAATTAACTGTCAAATTACTGTTGAATTTAAGTAATTAATGAGTGTACCTTTAATCAAGCAAATATTGCTTAATTAATTAAATGAAAAATACAAAATTAATATACATAAATTTAAAATAAAGTTTTTTTAACTATTTATTCAAAATATTATTAAAAAAATAACAAATAACAATCGTTTTTTTTTTAATAAAAATAGTAGTCTTAATAATTTTCTTTTTTGGCATTATAAGAATACAATATTATAAAAAAAAAATTAATTGTATTAAATTTCGTTTCTTTTTTATTTATTTCAGTTTTAAAATAAAATAATTATAAATATGCCAGAAAAACCAAAACGTCCTCTCTCAGCTTACATGATTTGGTTAAATGCCAACCGAGATAAAATTAAGAAGGAAAATCCAGGTATTAAAGTAACGGAAATAGCTAAAAAAGGCGGAGAATTATGGAGAGCAATGAAAGATAAATCTGTAAGTAAACAAAAAAAAAAAAATATTTGTGATTATATTATAAAATAGAACTTATAAATAAAAAAATTAGAATAAAATTATAGATAATTAAAAATCTAATTATGTATTCAAAATTATGTAATATCGTTTTTTATGTAATATTTTCATAAAATATATAATTTATTTTTTTTTTTGTTTTTTTTTTTTTTTTTAAGGAATGGGAAGCCAAAGCCGCTCAAGCTAAAGATGATTACACAAAAGCTGTAAAAGATTATGAGGCAAATGGCGGCGGTGGTGAAGGTGGTGGTAAAAAGCGTGGTAAAGCGGGGAAGAAACCTGCTAAAAAGAGCAAAAAGAATGATTCAGAAGATGAAGAAGAAGATGAGAGTGATTAAATCAAATATCTAGATTTAATTTAGTTTTATTAAAAAACAAACAAAAAGAAAAAAAATAAATCCCAATAATAATATTTCCTTTATTTTGTCCCATATTTTAACCATTTTTTTTTTTTGACTCTTAATTGAAAATCCTTATTTATCTCAAAATATTATTATTCGTGTTTTATTCAACAAATAAAAAAATAAATAAATAAATAAATATATAAATGTATTTTACCCCCTATTTTAATAAATTTTGTATTTTATTAGACAAAAAGCGAAAAAATTCAATTTTTTTTTTCCTTTGCAAAAGAAAATTAAAATTAAAACATTGTTTTATTTTTTTAATTAACAAAATGAATAGTTCTTTTTTATGTATAGAAACAATGTTCATATAAAACAAACAAAAAAAAAAATACATACATACTTTTTTAAATATATTTAATGGAAATATTTTAAATGTTATTCATAAATTAAAAAAAATTTTTTTTTTCTTATACATATGTATAAAACCGAAAAAAATCGGAATGTAAAATGTAAATTAAAGAAATAATTTTCTACAAAATTATTTAAAAACAAAATAAAAACAAAAAAAAAAAATTCAAAAATTCAAAAATTCAACTTTTTTTTTTTCGTTTTGCCTTAAGAATTTTGAAAATAAAAAATATAAAAGCTATTGGAAGCACTCAAATTTTTTGTTTTAGTAAACTTTTGGACATCGGGAACATTTTTAATAACAAAAATTAAATTTTTTTTTTTTTTTGGCAATGGTTCGGTATTGTTTTGTTTTCCTTTTTTGTTCGTATTAGAGTTAAAAACAAAATGATAAAAAAGTACAAAACAAATTCTTAACAATATATTTGATTCAATATTTTTAAAACAAACATAAAATATACATACATATATATATATAAATAAATTAAAAAAAATGAAAATTAATATTTAAAATATTAATTAATAAGACAACGCATATAATTATATATTCGCATATTTATACACATAACATTTAAAGAAAACAAAAAAACAAAAATATCTTTTAATATAATATTGTTCATTTAAATTTCATATTTGTGTTTTATTAATTTACACAAAAAAAAAAAAAAAAAAAACAAAATGTTTTCTTAAATTTTACACGTTTCTGATTAAAGCAAAAAATTTTAAACCTCAAGGTACTCAAATACATTATAATATTTTAAAAAAAAAAATATATTTTATATAGAAAAAAAAAACAAGAGTTAAATTAACAAACACATGCTAAATCAATAATTAAACAAAATTAAAATTATAAAAAATTTAATATTATATATTTACAAATAATGATAATTTCATATATATTTTTTTTTTTTTTTTTTGAGTGTATTCAAATACAAATTAAAATCAGAATTCTCTGTCTGTAAATTACGGAATGAAAACTGAAAATAAATTAATAATTATAAATTCAAAATTACAAAATACAAAAGCATAACATTATATAATAAACTAAAAAAAATAAAGAAATAATCTAAAATTAATTTTCTTATAAATAAAATTCTTTTTCTAATTCTTTTAAAATATCAAAAGCTCATAGTTCTTATTTCAGAATGTTTTATATAAACACAACAAAAAAAAAAAAATTAATATTTGATTGCAATTTTCTATAGTTGTCAGGAAATTCTAACTTTTTCATAATTTTTTTTTTTAATAATTTTGTTAGAAATTTTTTTTTTAATTAAAATAATTATTTAATCGTTATTTTTTTATTCTTTTGATTTAATCCTTCCTTATTTTTTTAATTGTTTTCGTATCATTAATTTGAAATTCATTAAAATGTATTACTTGTATTATGCAACATTTAAAATTTTTTTCTTAAAAAAAATTATTTTTTAAAAAATAACCAATAAATTTTTTTAAATTAAATTCAAACAATCATCTCTCTTTCGTTATTTTTAACATTAAATGATTTTTTTTTTTAAGTCATCCTTAACTTTTTTTTTTTAATAAAAAAAAAAAATAATAATTTAAAAATAATTTTTTCTAATAAAATAGACGAAAATTTGTTAATTAAAATTAAAAAAAAAATTTTTTTTTTTTTTTAATTTTTTTTTATTTTTTTTTTATAATGTTTAATAAAAAAAAAAAAGAAAAAAAAAGCCAAAACTTTTTGACAAAAAATGCCTTTTTTAATTTTTTTTTTTTTTTGATAATTTTTAATGCCTTATCAACAATAAAATTATTATCAAATTATTTCAAAAAAAGAAAAAAATCTCAATTTTGTAGAATATTTTTTTTTTATTATTATTTTAATAGAAAATTTTTAATGTTTCATTAAATTTTAATTTTATTATTTTACTACTATTTTGTTTATTATTATTTAAAAAGCAGCAAAGAAAATTTTGTATGCAAAAAAAATTTTTTTTTAGTTTTTAAATTATTTTGCTTATAAAGTATTGAATGCATATTGCAAATTTAATATTAGATTGTATAAATAAAAATATTAATTAGATTTATTATTTATAAAATGAAATATAAAAAAAAAATTAAATATTTTATAATTTTAAGAAATCATCACATATTTTAGCTGAACACTGGTAACCAACCACCAATACAAGGATAGGCTACACAAAATCATTTCTCATTAAAGCTGGTTGACGTTTTTTTTTTTACAATTCTGAAATCATTCTGAAAAATATCCTTAAAACACCGAATTTACACAATAAAAGTAATAAAGGAAACAAAACAATAAAACCATTAAATTATAATAGATTTGTTGTTAAACAGAATGCATTTACCAAGTTACAATTAAAAAAAAAATATACCTAATATATATGAGATTTTAAAATTTCCATTTTATAAAATCTATAAAAAAATATGATGAATATTACAAAAAATGTAAAATATTTTATTTGTACAAATCTAATATTATTTATTTTGCATGTAATTGTGTATCGGGACTGAAATTTCAAATTCTCCGATTTTTTTTTTTTAATTTGAATTTGATTTTTATTAATTTTTAAATTTTTTTTTTTTACATTTGAAAATATTATTATTATTTTTTTTTATTAATTAACTTTTAAAATTTTTTTTATGTCATTTTGTTTCCTTTTGGATTATGTTTTTATTTTATTTTTATTTTTTTTAACTAACAATTTTTTTTTTTTTTAATTAAAGTAAATATTTTGTTTTATATTATTATATTTTTTTTTTTTGATATTTTTTATTATTTTTGTTTAACACGATTTTAAGGCAACTGATTGTTTACTAAACACCAATTGTAAAATATTAATACACAAAAAAAATTTTAAAAGACTGAAATTATAAATTAAATTCTTTAATAATATAAAATTAATATCTAGAATTTGTTTTTTTTTTTTTTAAAAATAATGAAGTCTATTAAGTTGAAAAACAAGAAAAATAAAACATCAAAAAATGTGTATTAATATTTTGCTCAAAATACCCCAAATAAAAGAAGACAAAAAAAAAAAAACGCGTCGGACTACTATTTCGTAAATATGGGAAATTTTCTCCGATAAATTTTTATTAATCATTTTTTTTTTTGACAATTTATTTTTACTAGTTTATAATTCTTTTTTTAATTTTTTTACATTTAATAATTTTTTTTGTTTATGAATCTAAGGATTTTTTAGCTTACAGAAATATTAAATAATGGAGATAAAAAAAAAAAACACATTATTTTTTTTTTAATTTTATAATTGTAGTGGAAAACACGGAAAGCAATTAAGTATTAATTTTTTTTTTATTTTATTTAAATTTATTTTTTTAATTCTTTAATTACTTTTATTTTTTTTTTAAATAACTAAAGTTAAATAATTAAAAAATTTTTAAAGGAAATTTGCACCTTAATTAACATTATATATTAAAAATTAGAATTTAAAAAAAAAAAAAATAAATAAATAAAAGAAGTGGACAAACAACGGTTTATAATAAAAAAAAATATTAATTTTTAAATTAATTATTAGAATACCATTTATCTAGAATTTAAGGGAAAAAAATTTATAAATAATTAATTAATTAAAATATACAACAAAAACTTGAAAAATGAAAAAAAAAAAAAAAAGATTACATACATGTTAAAACTCTCTGTGTAAAAACAAAAAAAAAAAAATTTAAAAATGAAAAATAAATAAATATATGATATATAGAACAAAAATGAACAAATAATCATAAATGAAAAGAAAGATTAAAAAAAAAAAAAAAATCGAAATAAAATTATATAATTTGTATTTAGAAATTTTATTAATTATTAATTATTATTATAATGTAAGTTAGTTTATAATTTGTAAGAATATTAATTATATTATATAATATGTATAAAATATTATATAAAATATATTTAAATTCAAATCTAAAAAATATTTAAATACAATTTAAAGAGTAAAAAAATTATAAAAGCAAAAATACAGATATGAGATGATCCACAAAAAACAAAAAACATTTTTAAAATACAAATACGAAAAATTATACGAAATTTAAGTCAAACCAAAAATAAAGATTTTTGAAATAAATAATGAAAATTTTAATGAACATAGCTCATTAATAAATAAACCGATATAATAACAACAGGTATAAATGATATACTTGTTTTAATAATAAAAACAGACCGAATTTTAATTTCATTTGAAATAGAATTTTTTTAATGTGCTATTGGAAAATATTTTTAATTAAAATACATTAAAGCTATTGCACAAAAAAAAAAAACTATTAAGAATATAAGGAGTGCATAAAACAAAAAAAAAACAGTGTGTTAGTGTTGAAAACAGTAAAACAATGCATTATATAAGGGACAACAATCAATCAATTTTTGATATTGGAGCGCACTCAGAAAACCTACTCACCAATAACATAACTATTTATTTCATTAAAATAGGAAATTTACGAGGGTCACTATTTATTTCATTGAAATAGGAAATTTACGAGGGTCACTATTTATATTTCGGGTCCTGGCAATACTAGTGCTGCCAGGTGCAATCTGACACTTCCATTGGAAAGTTTGACATTTTTTAGGACAACTTCACTCAGAACGTTTTGTCATTCGAGGGCAAATTGTTTTGTTTACAGTAACTTGAAAAATTCATCTCGGTCAAAAAATGGAATTGTCCCGTGAAAATTTTCAAGACACAAGAGTGTCTCGATCAACTTGTTTCGACTTTTGGTGATGAAGCACCATCAAAAACCACTGTAAATCGCTGGTACCAAGAGTTTGGTTTCGGACGCCGTTCGCTCCAGGATGAATTTCGTGAAGGTCGGCCAATTTCGGTCGTTTTGCCGGAAACCATCGATGCTGTGCGCGAAATGATAATGATGGACCGGCATGTGACATACTGTGAGATTGAGGCATCCTTGGGCATTAGTTCCAAAAGCGTACATAAGATATTTCATGAACATCTTGTATAAAAAATAATATTGAAATTTTCATTATTATTTTTAATCAAAAATAATTAAAAAAAATTAATTAATTTTTTAGACAATTTCGTATAAAGAAAAAGTTTTTTTGAAAATAATAATCATTTTTTTTTTTTTTATTATTTTATTTTTGGAATGTAACAATGATTATTATTATAAAAAAAAAAAAAATTATTTTGAATTGCAACCAATATATAACATCATTTTTTTGATTTCAAAAGAAAAAAAATAAAATAAAATTTAATATATATATAAAAAAGAAAAATTTAGAAAACATTTTTGAATGTTGATAAAATTTTAAAATTTAATATATAATTAAAAATATTTAGATTTTAAGGAAACTTATATAATTAATTTAATAAGATAATAAGAAAACGCTGGTATAAATTGTTATTAATATTAGTCGATTTAAATTTTATTTCATAAATATTAATTTTTTAAATTTTTTTTTTTTTTTTTGTATAAGAATTTTGAATTAATTAACATCATAGAAATAAAAAAAGAAAAAAAAAATCACGAAAAACTTATGGAAACATCAAATAAAAACATAAGAAAAAATTTTTTTAGTAAAAAAAAAAAAGATAACAACAACAGAAACAAAGAAAAATCGCTTGAATTTTTAAAAATTATAAAAAAAAAAAACATTCATATTTAATATCATTAAGAATGATTTTTTTTTTTAATTATTAACGTCTGATTTAAAAATTAAAAAATCTTGTAAAAAGAAATTTATTAATGTTTAATTTTTATTTTTTTCGTTCTATATTTTGTAGGTGTTTTCTGGCTCCTTTGAACGCTTATAAACGCAAAAAAATTTTTCTTTTTTAATAATTTTAATACTTTTTTTTTTAAAAAAAAAAAAAAAGAGGATTTTCTATAATTCAGTGGGGGTTTTCGTTTATGCACGCTACGCTGAAAATTCTACAATTGAACTAAAATTTCTAAGTCACAGCGCGTTAAACAGTATGCAAAAACTTTGGCAAAGTTGTTTTTTGTTTACGCGGTCTACACATTCTGAAACTTCTTAAAGACATAGTCGTTCGAGAATAACAGAAATTACATTGTTTATGAAGTTGTATCGCAAATATTTTTCGCCTTCACTACCAAAATAAGGGAATTTTAACAAGATTTAGAGAAAATATACTTTAATAATCCTTCAATATCTGATTCTGCCATTTTGAATTTTAAATTTAAAAAAGAAAAATTCATGAGGCAGCGACAAAATTTACATGTATTTAAGGTCTGCGCTCCGTTTCTAACATTTTTTTATTTGCGATTGAATTTCCCGCGATTGCAGCGAATTGATTTATTGCTTTATATACGATCTATATTTTCAGTGTATGTAGCGTGTAGAACTATACTAGAACTGAATAAACGAAAACCACCAGTTTTACTTTAGGTCTTTTATATAAAGCACGTTTGATAAATCTAAACTGCAAGATCTGAAAAAATAGCTCTTTCGAAAGTGAAAGTAGAGCTTGAAGTTCTAAAGAAATTTTTAAGGTGTTTTATAACTACATACTGGAAAAATAATTATAAAATTAGAAGTATGATGGAAAAATGTTGGATATTAATGAATTATTCAAATATGTTACGAATTTAAAAGGAAAATTTCTGCAGGTTTTTAATGTATGCCTGGATTTAAATAATATTAATAGGATAAATTTTTATATGTTCATATAAAAATATACAAAAAAAAATTGATTAGTTGATAATTTCGTTAAATCATAATATTTGGTAACTAACTTCTATCAATTCCTTTTTCTGGATATGCACACAAGTTTCGGTTGCGTCAACTAAAATTACATAATTCAAGGTATGTAAATAAATAATACGAATTTAATTTTATAAAAATTTTATGCATTTTTTTAAAGTTTTTATAATTAACTTAATTTTGTATTTTATTTCTATTTTGCAAATGAGGTCTAATACAAAATTTGTTTCGAGAATATTTTTTTTAAGAAACATAAAAACTACGATTCTTTTTATTCATCTTCACTCCCACCACCGCTTCCTTCATCTGTCATTTCAGCTTCACTTTCTTCGTCCTCATCATCAGACTTTTTATCTTTTTTTGATTTACTGTCTGAAGTACTTTTCTTTTCATTATCATCATCCTAAAAATAAAAAATTAAACAAGTTATAAAAAATATTTATAAAATTTGAAATTTTAAAATTACTTTTTTATTTTTCTTTTTATCTCCACCGTCGGAAGAGCTTTCATCATCAGAAATATATTCTTTACTTTTATAACCAGCACCAGCGCCAACACTTGATGGCTTTTTCGTTGGACTTTCCTTTTTTCTCTTTTTGGATGCTTTAGAATCACCACCTTCATCGTCACTTCCTCCACCTCCTTTTTCTTTGTATTCTTCCATCTCTTTTTGATATCTTTCCTTATCTTTTGCAGATTTTTCTTCCCATTTTGATTTATCTTTAAGATCTCGCCACAATTCACCGCCTTTCTTTGCTATTTCTGTTATTGAAATACCGGGATTATCTTTTTTAATCTGCTCACGGTTCTCATTTAACCACAACATGAAAGCTGTCGCAGCTCTTTTAGGTTTATTTGAATCTTTGTTCTTCTTTTTGGATGAAGAGGACGATTTTTTCACAGTCTTTTCTTTTTTCTTTTCTTTTTTCTCCTTTTTCTTTTTCTTTTTTTCACCTCCTGATCCGTCTTCTTCATCATCGCTTGAGCTATCTTGGACGTCACTATCATATTCATCCTCTACTTCAGACTCCTGTTCACCTGGTTTAAAATCTTCGTCTGTAGATTCTTCTTCTGAACCCATAGAATCTGCAGATTCACGCTCTTTTGCTTCAGCTTTAACACGTTCTAAGTAGGCATCTGGTTCAGCTTCGTTATCAGAATCTCCAAAATCTTCTTTATAAGCTGCTTTATCATTCTTTCCAGTATTTTTAACGTGGAGTTTTTTATCCTTAATGAAATCAAATAATTTTCCGTACTCCTCCTTTTCTATGCTACTAAAAGTGTGTATAGTTCCTGATTTTAATTCGATTTCGAAATCAAATGAGCGGGTTGAACCTCCACTTCTAGCAAAATTCACAGCTACTATTTCTTCAAACCGAATATGAAGTGGAGGTTTGTGAATGTACATGAATCCTCTTTCTAATGGATATAAATAACCGGCAGCAGCTTTAAAAGAACAGCCGATTGCAGCAGTTCCAGAGTGCCTAAAAATTTACATAATGTTCTGGGAAATGTTCAAAATAATATTTTCGATACAAACCCAACAAAGTTTCCTGGTCCAGTAATTTTACGATTCACTAAGACTTTCATTATTTTTCCCATGACTTCATACACTGGCCCTGATAATTCTTTCGTTATTTTACCTTCGTATTTTTCTTTAATTTCTTGTTCCGAAAAAGGTAATTCTAATGTAATCTCTTCCTCATTCCCAAATAATAATACTAAGAAATGGTATCTAGTTTGGCCTTGTTTAATAGGTGGATCTAGAGATAAAACGAAGAAATTTTGCCTTTGATCCTTATGAGGCAAGAAAAACATTCGAAGAACTGTTGACATTGGAATTTTGTAATCAAATGTTTTACCATGCAGTTGAAAGAATGTTTGAAAAACTTTAATGTCATAACGTCCACGTGGGGTTAGACAGTGAACTTCACGAAATATAGCTATTGCATCGCCAGATACAGAGATAACTGAAGCTTTGTTCAAAACATTGTCGTAAAAAGATTCGACTGGATCATTATCGCCAGATTCATTTGAAGGAATATGGAAACGCATCTCCAGTAATCCCACTGGAGCATCATCGTTTTGATGAAATTCTAATGTTACTTCATTTTTACCAGTTTGACATTGTGATACGTGATTTAATGGAATTTCAAAAGTCATTCGTTTTTCATCGCCAAATGTAAGAACATTTCCATTAAATTTTGCTATTCCCCAATTCCAACCTTTTAAAAATAACTCTTGCTCTAACATGTCTTTTTTATATTGTTCTTTGAAAAACTTTGCAATTTTTTCATTATCACCTTCCTTGAAACCACGAAATCGATGTAACTGACCTTGCTTAGTGAATATTCTTATCCCCCAGGTTCCCACGAATTTTTGAAAATTTACTACATCAATATCGCTAGGGCTGATTTGCTCAACACGACCAGTTTTACTGTTTTTAAAAATTATATTTTGATCCGTCATTTTCAATCGTCCCGGAGTCTAAAATTGGAGAAGTTTGCTTTATGTTGATTTCCTATTAATCCTTTATTATTTTTAAACTTACCATATATCCACGCACTTCATATGAAACATCATTGTACTCCAAAAAATCCATTTTATAATAATTATCAAAAACTGAGAAAAATCAACAAATTCAAATACAAATCTTAATACTTAAAACTTTCGGCGGAATCCTTTAACGGACTATGATGCTATGCAATACTATTTCTTTGTATGTTTTGTTTTTAAGGTTAATTTACTTTTTTTCTACTTAATATTTCAAAATGTCAAATATAATTTTGATTGAAGCTTGTCAATTTAATTTTTCTGCAGTATATTTACTACTTCGAACTTTGATAACTCGTCCTTGGCAACAAAAATATTTTTGTCATCCGCATACTCTTTCTTCACAAGCGCTTTCACATTCATGCCTTTGTTTTTATTAGTACATATTGCGCCAGCAGACCACTTAGTTCTTCAACATATTGAAACCTAACAAATTTTTTGACGTGTTGGAAAACCTAGTTGAAAGTGGCTGAAAGCGACTCCACAAATATTATACTATCTGAAAGTTACAGTAATTGACCTGGTCCACTTTTTCGACGCTGATGTCTACACTTGTGTTGTTATTTAAATGCTGTCATTCTGCTGTCACTATGGTTTAGGTAGTCAATCAATAATTCAGGCAAATTGTTTTTCTGATATTTTAGATTTTTTGTAAATAGAAGATAAAGAATTGTGTTTTATATAAACATAAATTGAATTTGCAATATTTTATATTAATTTAATATGGACAACGTAAATTAAAGCTGCTATTTGAAGAGTACAATTTTTATAATTCTATAAGTACAATATTTACAGGAACTTAAATCGAAAATTGAGCAAGCAGTACGCACAGCAGAAGATTTCACAAGGTTATATTACAAATATCTAGACAAGCAAAGAAATGTAAATCAAACATGTTTCTTTACAATCAAGTTTTTTATTAAGTTATATGCATTTTAGCAATTAAGCCGTTTGTATCTGGAAAATGGTCTATTGGTTTGGAATGGAAATGGAATATCAGGCAAAGACAATATTCAAAAATATGTTGAAGAACTTCCAGACTCTGATCATCATTTAGGGATTTTAGATGCTCAACCATACGTGGATAACGCAGTCTCAGGTCAACCAACTCTTTTGATTCAAAGCGGTGGAAATGTAAAGTATACCAACCACCCTAGCAAACCTTTTCAGCAAACATTCGTAATAACAGCACAAGGAGATAAATGGAAAATTGTGAGCGATTGTTATCGATTACAAGATTGCCTGCAAGCAAATCAAAAATGAAAACATACAATATATTACTTTAGACATGAGTTTTTATTTCAAGTTCTCATTCTGTTTTAGGTTTCTTTGCATCTGGTTCTTCATTTCCCGTAAATATAGGTTTAGGTTGGGTTTTTTTATATGCGGGCGTGATCCAGTAAGGGTTTTCCTCTGCTTCTTTTGCATATTTTAAAATAGCTTCTCTTGGATCTTGATCATCGTCAACCCGCTTGCTAAGTCCTAAATTTCGAATAACATATGAACTTAAAGTTCCTCCTGAAGATGCAACACGTCCACCTTGGCCGCTGGTAATAGGTAAATCTGGTCGCCGTGATTTTACAGGATCCATTCTATCTTTTTCCATTTTTTTTCGAAGTGATCTAGATTTTTCTTGCCTAAACATGGGAAGTGCATGCGGTGTTATGACTTGCGCTACGCCACCAAACACTTCTGACTGTTTCTTTCTTCTATGTACTTTCGTCACACATAATTTAGCCCCACGGAAACTACGTTTTTCATCGTAATAACATTTAATAATACCATTTCCACAACCAACAAAGAGTTGATTTAATTTTGGGTGCCATAGAGTTTTTATTACATGGGAATTCGTTACTGGAATCGCTTTGACTAATTCGAAAGTTAATGTGTTGTAAAAGAAAATATTAGCTTCTTTATTTTCTTTTGGTAAAGATTCACCGGTGACAAGTAGTTTATCGTTGGGACTTAAAATATAATAAAATAGTTTCAAATATTGAAAATTATTTGAATATTTCAAAAATATACATACCTGAAGCAACAATCTGCGACGTCATACCGAGTGTATATATTCTCCCATACGTGCAAAGGAGTTTTAAGACTTCTCATGTCCCATAATTTCATAGTTTCATCACAAGACCGGGAAGCTATTTGATTACCTTAAAGATAAACCAAAAAAAATTATAAAATACATATAAAACATGAATGTTTCAATTCTTTTTTACCTAAATATGAAAATTGTACCGATGATATCTCATTTCCTTTTTGATGGGCATTTCTTACAACTTGAGTTGGATTATTTGCGTGAATTTTTCTAGTGTCCCACATTTGTAAAGATCCATCACCACAACCGGCGGCAATCAAAGTTGCTTCTCTATTATAAGTACAAGAATTTGGAATTGCCCTTAGTCCACCCTGAGCCCTCACTTTTATTACACTTTTTTGTTCTTTTGATCTTAAACCGGACCATATTCGCAATGTGGCATCCATTGAAGAAGTTAAAAATTCCTCTTTAATAAATGGATGCCAACATCCAGCTGTAAGTTGAGCTGTATGTCCTTTAGTTTTTGACATATCTGTTATATACTGATCCCCTTTTACACATTCTAGTTTTTCATAACCGTCTCGATCCAAGATTTTTGCTTGTGAATTCCCTGAAACCACTAGTATTGTATCTCCAGTAACTGAGTAATGTAAGCCTCGAATTGGATAGTTTTCGCAAGGTTGAATTGAACGAAATGATTTCATTGACTTATCCATTCCAGAGAAATCCCAAAAGCACATATCATAGTCGATAGATCCAGAAACAAGACGTGCGCCAGAGGAGTCTACGGCTAATGCTAGTATTGCTTTTGTTCCATGTTTCATTTGAACTTCATGGCTATTTGGCACCATTTTCTCGACATTGTTTTCGTCATCAGAATCTTCTCCACTTTCGTTATCTTCATCTGAGTCATTTTCATTTTGTGTTTTCAAGTTATTTTCCAAAATTTCTGTAGGTGGTAATGGCCCTACGATTTCATCTTCACTTTCACTATCACTTGTATCGCTCTCTGATTCAGATTCACTTTCTGATGTCTTTTCAGGAACTTGTACACCTTCGTCGGGTGGCTTATGAATTTTATTTGATTTGGCTTGTTTTATTTGCTCCTGAAATTAAATTATATTTAAATATATGTATTGGATAAATAGCAATATTTTGAAAGTGCCTCTATGTCAAACGTTTGAGCCTTTTTCCCAAATCCTGTTATGCCCATCACTTCTTTAATATGTTGACTTTCTAAATCATCACTAACTTCATTGATTTTTTCTATCAATGTTGGTTTGTCAATTTTTTTAAAACCTTTAAAAAGTTTAAATTTATTCAATATAAAAATATTTTTAATTTATGATCTTACCAGAATTTTCGGATGTAGCCGAATGTTGTTCATTCCTATTTGGTTCAGCAGAAGGAATACTCAAATTTATTTTACCAAATGTTATTTTCGGTTTGTTCATCTTGTTTCAATTTAATTCTTAAAATAAATTTATTTTTATTTAATAATAATTTTTTTCTTTAAAGTTAGAATGTTTTTATTTACAAACTTTATTCTTATCAAAACTCAAAAGTTGTCATTTGTCAACCTGTTTATTTTGACATATTGTCAAAATTAAAAAAGTGAGAAACGGCTTTCACACTCAACCTCTGGTAAATCAAAACTTTTCAAAAATTACCAGAAAGGCAAAATAAAAGTATTATACCTGATTATACTTTAATTTTTTTATATTTGATTGCCCTTCGATTTCAGATGGGGATTGATTTTCACAAATTAAAAAAGCTTTAGCAAACAAAACAACTATTTTAAGAAAATTTCCTAATAAAAGACTTTTTTTCTATAATTTACGAATTTTATAATTCGGAAATATTTTTTCATTTTATAAATATATTCATTTAATAAAGATAATAGTTCTTGAAATTCAGTATGCGTAGTTAAGTTTTATATATACGACAAAATTTACGATTTAATCTGAGTCTGGTGAGAGATATACACTTTTGTAAACTCTGTTTGATAACAGACTTTTTCCGGCGACAAATAAGTTACTGTTACAACAGATACTAATATTATATCTGCATATACGACAAATTTTAAGATTAAATCGATGATAAATTATGGTGTTTGTGTATCATTAGATATTGTCGTATATGTAAAAAATATTTTAGGCTTTGTCGTATATAGACTTCAGAAAAAATATTTTATGGCGCTTTTAAGTCGAAAACGAAATAGATATCAAAATATTGAGTGTCAATAGCTAGCGCGTCTGACCACTGCACTATTATTGAAATGTCAAATTAAACAGGATATTTTTGTCAACACTTGGCAATTTCAATGTTTTGTAGTTTTGTTGTACATAAAACGCACATGTTACAGATTAAAAAAAAAATTGTTTTTTTTTTTTTTTGCTTGAAGAAAAATGATTCAAAAAGGTGATTTAATAAAAACTATTGATGAAGACGAAAATGTTGAAAATTTTTCAGAAGATTCAGATGTTGAAGTTGAAGTTAGTATAAATTTTCAAACAATTTTAAGATCAAATCTTAAAAATATTTTTATTTTAGTATCAACCATCTAAATTTCGTCAAAAGAAACTTACGGATTTCAGTAAAGAATTTCAGTTTGTGTCTTCTGTAAAGGAATATAATTATGATACATGGGATGATTTAATGAAATATGTTAAGCGTAAAGCAAGAACGAAAACAGATGATAAGATTGCTGAGCGTTTAAAAAATCGTAATCAAAATGAAAATGGACTAGAAATTGATTCTGATGGTGAAGAGGTACATATATTTTAACTTGTAACCTGATGTATTTGATATATGTTATGTATTTTTATATATAAATATTTTATGTAACAAGAACAGATCGATTTATCCGAAGATGAACTTAAACATGATGGTTTGCGTTTGAAAGAAAAAAAGCAATCGAAACGTTCGCTAAAAAAATTAAAAAAACTTGAAAAGGAAAATGGCGAAATTGTAAAAGAAGAAGATAAAATGGTTTTTGAAGAAGCTGATAATAATGAAGAAATCACATCTTTTTATCAAATGAATCTTTCAAGACCTTTAATGCGGGCAATAGGTGTTCTGGGATATATTTATCCTACACCAATTCAAATTGCTACAGTTCCAGTCGCTTTATTAGGACGTGATATTTGCGGTTGTGCCGCAACTGGCACTGGAAAAACAGCAGCGTATATGCTTCCAACTTTAGAAAGACTGTTATACAGACCTATAAATAACAAAACTGTAACAAGAGTTTTAGTTCTTGTTCCCACAAGAGAATTGGGTGCCCAGGTTTATCAAGTTTCTAAACAACTATGTCAATTCACAAGCATAGAAATAGGTTTAGCAATCGGTGGCTTGGATGTGAAAGCACAAGAAAATGTTTTAAGACAGAATCCTGATATTGTAATAGCTACGCCTGGACGTTTGATAGATCACATAAAAAATACACCCAGCTTTAGTTTGGATTCAATTGAGGTAAAAGGAATTAAAAATGAATTAAATTAAAAAAAATATATTTTAAACATATAATGATGATTAACCTTGCGCTCTGAGTTTAATAACATGTTCATAAAAATATGTTTCAAGTTGAAGAAAATTTTTTTCAACATGTTTCTTCCGAGAAGAAACTTTCTGAGATTTAAAAAATAAACTAATTAATAAATAATTAATAACATTTAAAAAATTGTTTTGAATTCACTACAGCTTCATTCTATTTAAGGTTTTAATTCTTGATGAAGCGGATCGCATGCTGGATGAATATTTTGCCGAACAAATGAAAGAAATCATAGCTTCGTGTTCCAAAACACGGCAAACAATGTTGTTTTCAGCGACAATGACCGAGGAAGTAAAGGATTTAGCTGCTGTATCACTTGACAAACCTGTAAAAGTTTTTGTAAATTCTAATCAGACAGTTGCATACAATTTGCGACAAGAGTTCATAAGAATACGTGAAGATAAGGAATCCGATCGTGAGCCGATATTAGCTGCTTTAATTTGTAGAACATTTCATGATCATTGTATGGTATTTGTTCAAACCAAGAAACAAGCTCATCGTTTGCACATTCTTCTTGGGCTTTTGGGTGTGAAAGCGGGTGAATTACATGGAAATTTAACCCAACAACAACGTTTAGATTCTCTAAAAAAATTTAAAGAGGAACAAATTGATATTCTAATAGCAACCGATGTCGCTGCTCGTGGCTTGGATATAGTGGGTGTAAAAACAGTTATAAATTTTGTTATGCCAATTACTACAGAACATTATATTCATCGCGTAGGACGTACTGCAAGAGCTGGTCGAGCTGGAATTTCGGTATCACTAGCAGGGGAAAAAGAGCGTAAAATAGTTAAAGATATTGTGAAAAATTCTGAAAACACAGTTAAACAACGTTTTATTCCACCAGATATAATTGAAAAATATAGAAAAAAAGTTTATGAATTGGAAGCCGAAATTCGTAAGAAATTGATTTCTAGATAAATTCGTTTTTTAATTTATTTTTAATTTAAGAAAACATTCTCGATGAAGAAGCAGCAGAACGTCAGATGGCAAAAGCCGAACAACAATTATCTAAAACTGAAAGAAAATTGAAAGGTGAACAAAATGAAAAACGTGATTGGTTTCAAACCAAAATGCAACGTCTTCAAGAAAAAGAGAAATTATCGATTAATTCTGCTTTAACAACAAATGGAAATGTAGCTGGGCCAAAATCAACCGTGAAAAGGAAAAAGCAACCTGAGTGGGGTGGTGATGGTGAAGATGGCCCACCAGTTAATTCTTTAAAAAAACCAAAAAAAGATACAAAACCTAAAACACCTGAGCAATTGGCAAAAGAACGTGTTTTTAAAGAAATGGAAAAAGTTTCGTTAGTTAGAGCTAAGATTTCGAAACTTAAAAATCGTCAAAGTAAATTGAATGCAGTCAATGACAAAGATAACGTTGTCAAAAAAGATCGTGACGTGATTAAAAAAACAAAGAAAAAATCTAATTTTACACAAGATTTAACTGATGTTACACGCGGAGGCGCGAAAAGGTTAAGATCTGAGGCGAATCGTCATATTAAATTAGGCAAATTGCGAGAGAAGAAAAAAACTAGTGCTGTAAAAATTACAAACAAAGCTGGGAAAAATAAATTCAACAAAGGCAAAAACTTTGGAGGTCCAAGGCATTCTAAAAAGAAGTGACGCTGTTAAAAATTTGTATAAATATTGAAATAAAATACACTTTTTCAAATTTAATTGAATCTAAGTTTTATTGAGTCTAGATATTGCCTGATGGTTCTGGTAAACTCAATACTTCACTTAATGTGTCACTGTTAACTAAGCATGGTATTTGATTTATAACCGCTGTGCTCTTCAATATCAGTTTTAAGTGTTTAATTTTCCAATTATTGTCGCAATTCGGATCTCTGATTAGCCCAAATAGAGATTCAAAGGTACCCATACATGTATCTGTTGTATGCAAAGTTCCGCAACATAATACTAAAACTAAACCATGCATATCAAGCCGACCTTGAACTCCTTCATATGCTAGATTGGGGTTAAAAGAAAATTTAACTGGATTTTTTATTCCTAGCAATGTTTCTACAACTTCTGTACTTGAAGTACATTGATGTTCTTGAGTCTCTCCACTCTGTACCTGCACCATTTTTAAATGCAATGATGAATCTATCCAAAAATCTTGTGGTTTTAATGTGTCATCATTGTAGGAGACAAAAAACCATTCCGAAAATTTCTTAGCTAATAAATTAATTGGATACGACATAGAATTATTTGTTGATAGTTGATTGTTTTGTTGAATCGGAAAATCATTTTGAATTAAATCTGTTTTATATAATTGATTATTTTGTTCAATTATGTATTCATTTTGGGGTTGTGACGCAGAATGCAATACATTTTGCTGATCAATATGGCTAGAATTAGGATTTACTTCACTCAGAGAACTTTCATTTTGATTTTTGTTATCGAAAAATTTTTCTTTCCAAAAGTTTTGAGTTTTTTCAATCAAACTACTTTTTGTAAAATCACTAGACGCTCGAACTGAGTTTTTATGTAAATATTTAAATAAAATTTCTTTAGTTAGCATTTTTTTATTAAGTATTGTTGTTGAACTACCACCATGTACAAATACAATTTGTAAAGCATCTAAAAAAAATTTATTATTTAAAATAAAAATAACAATGCTATAACCAACCATCTAAATTATCCGCAGACACATAATTTTTTGTTAAAGATTTCGCCAATTGTATTAATATTCCTTTGTCCTCTTGACCATTAAATAAATCAAATAAGCCTTGTTTTTCATAATCTAAAATTCCACTCATTTTTTGGATTCACTTAATAATATCATTCGATTTTTTAATAAAGTTTAAAATTCTTAATGGATAATCGCAAAAATATTAGCAAATAAATAAATAAGCCGTCACTTTCAACCAAAATAAAATTTGACATCATAGACAAAAATATGGCCAGATTACATTAACTTTGAGTAGTAAATAATGATACGTCAAATGTCAATAGCTGGGGTATTGTTGACACTTTTAACATTGTTAATTCATTTTGCGTGATTTGATGAAATCTCCTGAAAGTTCAAAAGACATATATATTTCATCATAAAAATACAAATATTTATTAAAAAAATAAAAATACAAAATTTTTTAAAATGTGATCTCAGCTATTTAAATTTTGATGTAAAAAACACTTTGTGTAAATCTATGTTTGATTGTTTATTGCTCAAATGTTTATTCAATTGTTAATATAATTATGACGTCTAATCGTCAGTAAAAAATGACATAATATTGTGAAATACCTTCTTCTGATAGGGTTGTACAGGACTTACCAATTGCAATCGAAATATTGTCCATATATAAGCAATAATTAAAGAAATAATTTTATAAATTGGGTATTAATATTTTTAAATACGTTCTATTAGATAATATTATATTGAAACTTTTTGAAGATTTTTCATAACTTAACATGATCTTGTAAAACATTATACTTTGAAACCTTATTTAGTTTAATAGGAATACAAATTTCTGTTATCTGCTTAAATTGTCTTATTTTGGCTTTCATTCTTTTCCTTTTGTTTATGTTTTCCTCCAATTGTTATTTCATTTTCTCAAAAGATAACTTCAACTTCTTCAAAGTTCTTTTGCTTTAAAATTTGCTCAATATCTGGCTCATTTAAATTAATATTTCCATTTTTCACTAAACGTATTAATCAAATTTTACATAAATTTAAAGAATAGAGCTTCTTCCAGGGCTATTTTAATAATCCCCAATATGTAAATTTATAGGATATTTTTTACTCTCATACATTAGATTTTTATAAAATGTACATATATATATGTAGCGTTTAACAAAAATTAAAAATATACGTCTTACTTTTTTGAATTTTGGTACTATCTGCAGAAAGTAGATTTGTCTTCAGTACTATTTACCAAAATGTCAAAGTAAAATCAAATCCAACTCAACTCGATACATTTTTTGTTGTTTACTAAAATGCAAAAGAAAAGTAGATGATTAAAAATCAAAAATTTGGTTTGCATTTTGGTATACGCCCTTGGACCATATCATGTAATTCGATTATCAAATTACATAGTAAGGCTCTTGTATATGCTTCGTACAATGTTATTATTTTCAAAGACATTAAAAATTTTCACAATATAAAATTAAAAACAAAATTTTTTAGTTTGAAAATCTTTAAATTTTAATTGTAATTTTAAATTTATTTTACTTATTTTATTTTAACATTTAATTCGAGCTTTTCATGTTTTTAAATAATAAAATTATTTAATTTTTTTTTTTGAAATCACATTACAGTTTTAATATTTAGCTGAATTCAGCAAAATTACTTGTTTTATATTATATTAATAAAAATATCTCAGCATAACAAAGATAGTTTTGTTATGTCAAGATAATAATGCATATTGATCTATATGGTGTATGTGTGTTTGTATATTCAACCATACAATTGTTTACAGGTTTGATTGATACAATTTTAATTTTTTTTTTTTATTTTTAATTTAACGCAGGTTCTATTAAATTTTAAACTATAATAATTAGAAACTATTTAAAATTTTAATTATTTAATTTTCTTTTATTTATATATTTTTTTTTTGTATATGTGTCAATTGATTTTAGGAGGAAGTGGGAGGGGGGGACTTTACAGGAGGTTTGTTTTTTCTTCTAATAAATAAAATTTCTATTTTAATAATATTTATTTTTATAGTTATTCTTTCTTGAATTCATTACCTTAAAACGTTTTTTTTTCTGTTGTTTTTTGTTTTTATAAATTGAAAATTTAATTTCAGTTCTTATATACTACGAAACTATACAATATGTATGATGTTTTTGTAAAACTTGGAAGCTTTCTTAAAATAAATTTGATAATTGAAATTCATCAAATAATATCATTTTAGAGAAAAAAAAAAAAAACAAAAAAAAATTGAAATTAAAAAGAAAATAACACAAACAAAAAATTTGCATTATTATTTCAATTCTATTGAATATTTTGTTCTATTAAATATAAATTCTATTAAATATATATAATAATTGAAAATTTCTATTCTAATGATCTTCTTCTTTGCTTTGTATAACCAATACCTTTATCAATAACTTCAGTTGATAGACCAGCTAATAATGGAAGTTCTCTCATTGATACATTAACTGATGGTAGTGGTTCTAATTTTTTCAATTTTTTTATAGATGAAATTTTTTCTGGTGTTCCTGGCAAACTGTTTGTTATATTTAAATTATCAATACTGATTGATTGGGGTGTAGCATTTGCTGTTATAGATATTTCTGTTTTAAAATTATTTATTTTATTATTTTTATTACCATATATATTTGATAAATAGAATTTATTTTGTAATAATAAATGCGGTGTTAATGAATTAATAATATGATTATTGCCAGATGTTGTTAATTTTGTTGGAGTTTGTGTTTCTTGAGATTTTTTATTGATCACATTATTATGATTAATATAATTATTAATTGTGTTTGGCGTTGTATTTATAATAGAAGAATTATTTATTGATGTTGTGTTTAGATTTGTTACCGATGCAGCAGCAGCAGCTGCAGCACATTCTTTCATCATCATTAAATGATCTAATTTATCGACAGTTGCATTTAATTCCATTTCCCAATTATCTTGTTGTTGTTGGCATCCGTCACCGCCTTCAACTGGTCTAACAGCTAATGTTTTAACTTTTTGACGTAATTTTTCTTCTAAATCTATAACATTGTCATTATTATCATCAGTAGATTCGAGATCATTTTTAATATTATTACTATTTATGTTACTATTATTATTATTATTATTATTATTATTATTATTATATAAATGTTGTTCATTTGTTATTATTGTTGCTGTTGTTGTAGTAATAGAAACACCAGATAATGAATTATTATGATTACTTGAATTCGTTTGTATTGAATATTCACTATCAGTCATTGATGGAAGATCATCATTATCACCACCACCGTTACTGCTGCCACCATCACTACTGCCACATTTATCCAAATCTAAATTAAAATCTAATGATAATTCAGCACCAACGCCTGGTTCCCGTGGACCCGGTGGAGGTGGTCTATTAACCGGTAAACCATTTGGATAATTACTAGGTGATCCACTTAAAACGATATCACCACGTTGTTTATGAATCTCTTCACTTATTTGTTCTAATTTTCTTAAAGCTGTTGAATAGGTTTGTTTAGCTGCTGCTACTTGAACTTTTAATTCTAAAATCCGATTTTTTTGTGTTTGAAGTTGATCTTTACATATTTGTTTTTCTTCAAAATATGGTCGAGATTTTTGTATACTACGTCGATAACGTTCTTCTAATTGTTGTACCTAAAAAAAAAAAATGAAGAAAATTTTATTTGCATCATGGAAACAGACTATAGTGGGCTGCTATTAAAATCATTAATTATAAACTTACTTTCATTTCAATTGCATTAAAAATTTGTGCTTTTCTTTGATGTTCAGCATGACATTCAGCTTTTTTTATTTCTGCGTCCATTACTTTTTGTGTGGCATGATTTAACATTTCTTGCCATGCATTATCAAATTGCCATTCATGTGAATTACTCATAAAACGTTGTTCAGCTAATGCAACAGTTTCTTTTGCAGCAGCATGATTTTCTATAAAAAAAATTTTATAAAAAAAATCATAAATTTATTTTATTTCTTTAAAAAATTTATGTATATAAGAATTAAGAATTACCATTAGCACGTTGAAATTTAACTGCTGCAGCTTGACATTCAATTTGAGCCTCACGAGATTTCTCTAATGCATCATAATATGGCCGAGCCTTTTCAATACAATTACCTAATTTTTTTATTAATAATTTTAAACGGCGTGTTGATTCATTCATTAAAATATTGAATGTTGTATTAGCTTCCTGTAAATAAGAAAAATATGAAATTAGTTATTTTAAGAAATAATAAGGTGAAAATTTTTTCTGTGTGGATCGGTCGCTACAATTGTAGTTAATTTACTGTAATATAAATTTATTACTAATTGATTATTAAACTGAAAAATTTTGTTAACGAAATATTTTTCGATATCGGAATTCAGAAAATTAAAAAAAAAAATTATTTTAGAACTAGACACTAATTAATTCTTAATTTAAATTAATATTTAAATTAATTATTAAAAAAAAATATTTTATATTTAAAAATTTTTTGATTCCTTCATTCATTAGAGTTTGCCATGTAGATAGATTGCATGCAATAAATATTTTTTCCCTAATTATTAAATAAATATAAGGTAGAAAAATTTATAATAAAAAAAAATAATTTTTGACCTTTTACAAACCGATAATAATTGACTCGACCTAACTCTATATTCGTATGTACAATACGCACAAATAAATATACATAAAAGGAAAAATTCATTCTATTACTTTAATAGATTTTTTTTGCAGAAACTTTAATAATGCATTTGTTAGGGAATTACTTTTTTTTATACGTATATCTACTCTTGTATACATATTGTATGGTATATATAGATTTCGTATTGATTCCCAATAGTATTATATAAATATAATGTTCTATTTACCTAGAAAAGCATAAAAATTTATGGAATTTTGCATGACAAATTCCAAAATATCAAAATATACGTATATGAAACCTATGTGTATATAAAACCTTGTATGTACATTATTAATATACTCGTATTATGTTAAAATACATGTATGCAATTTACATCTATGTATATATATATACAAAAATAGTCTAATGTTGAACATTCATAGGTATATTTGAAATTCCTTATGGCGGTAACCCCTCTCTATATTCAATATTTTCCTTTTACGAAACTAAAAAAAAAAAAAAAACATTAAAAACGTGACTATACTTAAAAAATAAAATTACACTTTTTGTGCAAAATAAAGGAGTTAAGAAGTACATATATATGTACATATTTTATTCTCAAGATTTATTATCGTTCAATATTTTTTTTTTATAAAAATATTTTATGTACATAAATTTAAAATGTACTTATATACATTTAATAAATACTAGGTCTAGGAATGTATATATACGCTATGTATAGTAAATATATATACAGAGTATAACAGTATTACTGCAGTAGGGTTATAGAATAAGCCAGATGAAAAAAAAATTTTTTTTTGGTGACATTTTGCTTTTTGAGCCCACCTTTTCGAGCGTACAAATTTGGTAGCATACAATATTTTTCAAGTTATCAACAAAAATGTATAAGAGAATTATGAAGCTTCATAATTCGAGAAGGAACGCCCAAAAAGTAAAATGTCATCTAATATTTTTTGTATTCCAAAGGCATTCAATCACCCTGCTTCGGGAGTTCTATCGAATCTTGGATACCCGGTATATACATATACATACATATAGTTTTTACTGCATATTTTTTTTAGTTGTACGTATTGAAACAATCGATTTTTTTTTATAGCTTTCCAATGATTAATTTTGTTTGTGTTGTTGTTGTTGTAAAATTAAGGATAGGTTGATTTTATTTAAGATTTCATTTCTTTTATTATATGGATAAATTATACAAAAATACTGCATACTTTATTAAAGTACAATAATGTGAAACAATGTCTATTTCAATTTGATAATGTGGAATTTTTATCAAAAGAAATATATATATATGTATTTCTAGCTTGAAAATTATTTATTACATTATTCCAAGTTTCCTTTATTATTTCTAGTCAGTTGAGTTAATATAGCACATTTTTCTTCATAGCTAGAGTTTTTGAATTCTATTGCTTCGATTGTTATAGTATACAAATTATAACAATATGTTAGATTACCTCTAATTCAATTTCCAATTTATTAATTTCATCTGTGGCCGTATTAAGATTTTCCAATTCAACCTAAAAAAGAGAAAAAACAAAGAATAAATAAGTATGTAAGTAATTTTTTTTTTTAAATACATGGAGTTTTATGCAAAATAAAATTGTTAAAAAATTCATAAAATAATTTAATGTAATTTTTTATTCACCACTTGAATTTACAATGTTTAAATTAATTCTTAATTTTGATTGCTTAATCAGAGTAAAAAAAAACTAATTCATATTAATTTTTTTATTAAAAATTTGTTAGAAAAAAAAAATGTTTTTATAGTAGATTAAATCAATTGAATTCGTCCGTACACAATAATTTTTAACTATGGAGAGAAAACGTCAATATTGTGTCACTGCGTGTAATATGAATTGTAAAATTAAACTGGTGTAAAACGAATTGTCAAATTTTGAAATGTAGAAGTAATTGTAGCATTTTTAGCATTTATTTTTAGCATTATTAAAAATTAATTTTGACTATGCATACAATTCTAAATAATTTGAATAAATTGTTAAAAAAAAAATAAAAACTCTGTTGGAGAAAAAAAATTAAAAAATTTTTCTAACACTAAAAAGAGTAAAATATTTGAATGTTTTGATAAAAACTCTAATAATTGATTAGCCCCGTAGTTCAACTTCTTTTTGCAATTCATAATATTTCAGTAGCATAAAATACTGTATAACAATATTACTACAAAAAAGTTTCAGCCATCTCTTATAATTTCTTAAAATTTTTTTTCGCAGGTGATCCTTAGGCACTTTTCACTTTGAGTTATAGGATCTTTTGTAATCGAGTTATAGGAGCTTTCGCGACGAACCAGTAAATTAACTGTAAACCGTCTATAAACTTAAGTGTCAAAAACGACAACGATTCCAATTCAAATTTATTTTGTAAAGAAATTAAAAAATGAACTTCTACATTTTTGTTTTTATATAAAGTTCTTATTAATACGCTTATACGACTTTAGATTTGTTAACATATTTTTCTCTATAAAACATTGAAATACTCGCTTTGATTAAATAAGTATTATAAACATACTAAATCTATGCGCATCCGTAATTTTCGAAAATTAAAAAAAAATTGGAAATTCATGAAATGTAATCCAAAAATTAGTTAAAGAGAAAGAAAACTTGTAATGAAATCACGAAATGTCAATTACTTTTTTTTTCTTTTCTCTCCCTCAGCAATTTTATTTCATGGTTTTGTTGAGCACTCATAATACACAACAACCATCTCTTTTAATACGCAACAACCATCTATTTATCTCTTTGAAATTACAGTTAAATTTTGAAATTATTTTTTTATGTTTTGGTTGTTTGAACTTTTATAATAAAATACACATACATATAGTTACGTATGTTTTAATTTTATGCAGAAAACACGCAGGGTTAATAACAGAATACAACGACTTTTTAAAAAGAAAAATCGGGTCAAGGTTCTCTCTTTATAACGCCAAAACTACGTTCGTTGCATTATTCGCTAAAAATTTCTTTTCAATTTTGTCTTTCTCTATTTTTTTTTCTTTTTTTTAGTAATAATTAATATTATACTATTAATAGTTGCTAGTTTAAAGTAAAGAAAACATTCAAACAAAACAAATAATAATTAAGTATAATAAAAATCAAATTTTTTTATTATTTCAATTAATACAACCATTCGAATAATTTGAATTTGAAACCTTTACCTTAAGAAACCGTTTCTTTTTTTCTCTCCTTGTTTTTTTTTTTTGTAATTATTTATGGTATGTATATGTATACCTGTTTGATAGTAAACGACCTGTATCATACAATTTCTGTTTGCCTATTTTATAAATGAGTAAACAATAAACTTAGTGTGACAGAAAATTGAAACGAATATGGAAAATCACTCATTAAATATGGAATTTTTTTTTTATATTTATGTTTACATTTTGTGTTTTGAAAAACTGCTAAGTGCGTATATGTATACACGTAAACTCTTATATGTTTATATGAATGTATGTAAATATATATGAACATTATTTTTAATATTGAAGTTTAATAAATTTAAACATCCAATAGATGACGTTTCATACAAAAATTAATTAACTTGTCAGACTAAATATGAACTGTTATCATTCAACACTCTCTTGAAATATTGAAAATGCCAGAAAATATTGTTGTTCTATTCAGAATTTGAGAAAAAGGTATCAAAGAAATCCAAATATTACTAGAATTCCGAGATACAACTTTAATTTTTTAAGATTAATTTTTAAATTGAATCAGAGACGACTACCTCTCTAACAAAATCAAACATAAAGCTCATACACGTAATTTTCCAGAATTTAAATGAAAATATTCTTATAAACATAAAAAAAAATTAAACATAACAACATCATTTTCACTCTAAATAACGTCAATGAAAATATACACTTTAAAATTGTGATTAATCTTGAATAATTTTTGATAGAAAAATATTAGAGCGGAAAATTCAACATTACCGCGTGCATATGCGTTTCCTTTGTGGTAAAAGTTTAATAATTACATTATGTAAATACGTATAAATATAGCATGCACCCACATATACGTCTGCTTTAATACATAATCTAAAACGAATTTAAAGCCCAAAAAAATAATTCTATAAAAAAAAATAATTTAATAAATTAAAAAAAAATAATTTAGTCACGCAAAATTCTGAATTTACTAAATACATAAATATTAGTTTAATTATTTTATTGGTTCAAAAAATCTAATATAGTTTTCCAGAATATTATTATACTTATATAATTATTGTGTTATAATTTATGAATGCATGAATGAAATTATTGTCAAGTTATACTATTTGCTTTTAGATAATTTGCAAATATCGTTATTGCATTCTGATGTTGGTGACCATCAATATTATAAAAAATGAGAAAAAATAGATTTGACGTTGTCAACTCTGTGATACCCGTACGAACTTGTTATCCTATGTTATCCGAATAAATATGCCATAACTGACTATGGGACAGACTATGACTTTAAGTTGCCGTATTACTATATTAATTTATGCAAAATTTCAATACTGTGTGTGCCAAACTACTATTGAAGATGTATGGCAGCTACTAGAAAGAGCCAAGAAATTTTAACGAATTTTCCTACTATTATATTCGCTTGTGTGAAATTTCAATACCACAGCTTTTACAGTTTCTGAGATATATGAACATACGTTCGTACGGGTATAAAAAAACACTTTACTCTTTTATGTACAATTATCCGGTTTTCTGTCAAAATTTTTCATATATTTTCGGTTCTAGTTAGAGTCTCTTTTTTTTTTAGAAATATACATTATTATTAATAATTAAAATTATGAATTGAGTATTTAAACTATTTAAATATTAAATTTTATTAGTCAAATTTCATTTTACAAAATCAAAAAATAACAATAATAGTAATTCAGCTAACATACATAACATAAATAAATGTAGGTAATTCAATTGAAATATTCAGATAAGTGTTTCCCTTATTCTTAAAATCATTATGTTGGTACATTGTTAAACAATCACAATAATTTTTTTAATGATTCTTTTTCGTTTATTGTGAATATCGTATATATAAAAAAAAATAAATAAACAAAAATTTTATACTTATACGTACAATAAATTCAAGGTTGCACATGTTTATTGTACAAAATGTATACAAAATCAATCAATCAATATAAATTGAACATGCATATAAAAGTAAAATAAAAATAAAGCATAAGTATAAAAGTTAAATTCATTTTATTATCAGATATCAGTTAAGAACTTTAACATTTTAGTATTTTGTATCATCCTAATCCATTCTATTATTGAACACACGTTCATTTACCACACTTTTAATTTGTATAAAACAAAAAGTCATGAAAAATAAAGAAAACACTAGTTCAAGTATTTCTTTATTTAATTGGAATTTATATTCATAATATGGCAAATTCATGTATAACAAATATATAATAAATTATCCTCATTTATTAATTTATTAAAAGAAATAGTTATTGGGTACGTGCGGTTTCTGAAACGGATTCAAAAATCCGAATTGAAGTTTTTTTTTTAATATACAAGAAAATTATGTTCAAAGAAATTGCGTCCTCTTCACATCCATTCAGAAGATACTCACAAAAAGAATAAGTATAACAGTTTCATCATAAGTTAAATTTAATTATTTTATATACTCTCTCTTTTCTGAATTGATTTCAACTACATTTCATAATTTCCAAAAATTTTTATTTTTCTCAAACTATTATAATGAGTTTTTGTTTTTTTTTTTAATTTAAAAATTATTTATTGTTAAATTGGATTATAAAATTAATTTTGTTACGCTCGATTATTATCCAAATTTTTTTTTTTTTCAAAAAAAAAAAAAATTTTTAATTAAAAATTCAAAAAGGAAAAACCATTCCATGCCAATTCCGTTTTCAATTAGCTTTGTATTAAAAAAAAAAAAAGAAAAAATTTCGGCCTGAATTTTAAAAAATGGAAAAAGAAATAAAGAATTTTTTTTTAAATTAATTTTTTTTACAGTATTCATGCACAAATAATTTATAAAGTCTGCATATACGTACATATAAATTTTATATATTTATAATTTATTTTTATGCCCTTTCAAGTCAAAAAATATGAAAATATAAGCGAGGATATTCGACAAAAAAAAAATGAAAGAGAGAAAAAACTTTTGTTTTTCAATTATGAGTATAACACTTTGCATAAAAATAAAATTTCTTTCTTTTTTTTTTTTATCAATAACTTTTCGCTTTTATATTATAATTTGAATGAATTATACACGAATTTGCAACAAAAAAAAATAAATAAATTATAACCATTACGAATTATTCATTTTTTAAAGTGAATTTATTGCATAAGTGCTTTTATATAAGTAAAATTATAATGTTATACAATATCATGATTACTGTCAAAAAAAAAAAATACAATTGAGTGTGAACGTCTTCTATGCCCTGTCATTACATATATTCACAATTTTGATTGTTAATTTTTATTTGAAATTAGCTTAATTTAAGTTATTCAACGCTTAACCTTACTTTGTGAATGATTATATAA